CTGTTTGCTTTAGTTTAAAAATGCATCTCATTTAAATTTAGGAGGAAGAGAAGATTGATTTGCATGTTCCAGCAGTGTCAAGAGATAATAAACAATATGAGACATAAAAAATAATCCTGATTTGTATTTGTTTCTGTCATGCTCTGACTAAGTAATAAGTGAATATGAAGAGGGCTTAATGCTTCTGAAGTCATGCCATGTTTAAATATTTTTCTCACATATACTATCAAGTTGAATTAGGTGCTACCAGAAGGTAAACTCATTCATCTTAAAATGAGAAACATTTATTAACCCAAGATGAATACGTGTTTGTGTTTTTTTGTAAAATATGCTTGGATCAGGAATCTCCTTGTTTATGAAACAAAAAACAAAAGAGTGTGCCTCTATGTAAAAGAGTTATACCCCAGAATAAATCATGAAAATTTAGCAACTTTGATTTCATTTGGTTTAACTTGTCCTCATTGTTCTTCTATCTGAATTGGAGATTTATTATCAAGGACATAGTAATGTTGGCTCAGGTCAGTGTTAATTGATAGAAAGATGCATGGGGTTCACAATCATACCTTTCAATTAGATTACTGTAATATGATTTACGTGGGGTGCCTTTGAAAACTGTTAAAAAACTTCTGCTGAATTAGACCATAGCTGCCTGGTTGTTACTTGGCACCTTGAAGGGTCCTGCTTATGTAAATAAATGTTTTCTTCCTTATGTATGAGGTTTTTTTGCATGCTGAGATATTCAGAGTGTTCCCTGCTCGGAATATTTTATGTCTCTGTGGTTAGACCAATAGTTACAACAATGGAGTGGAGCCTTTTGACAGTGGTATTCTTTCGGAACATCCTTCCTAGCCTGGTTTGACAGCTGAACTCCCCTTGGCCTTTCAATGGCAGGTCAAGATATTCTGGATAAATAAAAGGTTTTGCCCATGCTGTTTAGCTAGACTTTATTTTAGTATATACTATCTGATTGGTTTTACAGTTACTTCTTTTTTAAATGACAAAGTTTTAATTTAATATTATAATGTAAATATGAGTCACCTTGAAGGCCCGATGGCCTTTGTTGGGTAGAAAGGCTATACATAGCAGAAGTTTTATCAGATGAATGAAATACACTTTTTTTCAATGTCCACTACATTATGAGGGGTGAGACCAATACTTCCGAGAATTGCCTATAGGCAGATGATCAGGGAGAACTTGGTGATTATCAGCTCTAAGGTAAAGGTAAGGACCCCTGACTAGGGTGTGGCACTTATCTTGCTTCAGGCTGAGGGAGCATTTGTCTGCAGACAGCTTTCTAAGTCATATGAGCAGCATGACTAAACTGCTTCTGGCGCAATGGGACACCATGACGAGTGCCAGAGTACATGGAACCACTGTTTACCTTTCCACCACAGCGGTATCTATTTATCTATGCTGGTATGCTTTCAAGCTGCTAGGTTGGCAGGAGCTGGGACAGAGCAACAGGAGCTCACCCCGTAGCGAGGACTCAAGCTGCTGACCTTATGATCTGCAAGCCCAAGAGGCTCAGTGGTTTAGACCACAGTGCCACCTGTATCCCTCTGTCAGCTCTAATGACTAGTTGAGAGGATGGCTGCAGTCGGAGCAGATGCTGAAACCTTTGATAGGCTGAGCGTGGCTCGTCTCCGTTCCTTCACTCCATTGAAATCATAGTGGCATTTTAAACCTGTTTCAGTTTGAAAGCTGAATTCAGTAAATTTTAAAACAACCCCAACACAATAAATACCATCCATACATCCGCCTTTTATGCCATTGTGTAAATAAAAGCTTTTAATTTTGAATGCATTTCTAGTTCACAACACACATTTATTTCAACATGGCAGTGAGTAATCACATCAAGTTTTAAAATTCTGTTCATACCTCATTTAATACATCCAGCATATGAAATATCCAAGCCTAAAACGTAATTACAGGAAAGTGCCATAAGGTCATTGCAAAGGTAGAATCCCTCCAACAATATCTCACTATGCCTCCTACAGGATAATTCATCACTTGGTATAAGTGATGTTTTTTGCCATATTGTCAGAACAAACAAAATTAGTTTTAATTTTAAAATAGTGCCAGTGTATTTGTGCTTGAAATATTAAGTAGACGGAGTCATTTCCTTAGAGATTTGTGGCTGTGATAAATATTCTGGTCTGTGTATAGATCAGCATTTGAATATGAGTTGACAGCTGGGAGTGTTGTTGGTTTTTTTTGGGGGGGGTACTGAGATATAATCAATTGATTCTATCCATTAAACTACATGGCATAAATTGAATTTAAGCAAAATGGCATTTATGCTGTACAAACTGAACAACTCAACACATTTAAGAATGGAGGTTGTTAATCGTGTTTAATGATGTATCTCCTGACTATTTTAAATATATATTTTTGTTCATTTAGAAGTGGAGTACAAATAAAATGTAGATAAAACACAGTTAAGATCTACAAAACTGTTAAATGAATATACATAAAACAATTCTCAGTAAAAGACAGATAAAGCCAGTTATGCTTTAAAAACAAATATAGGTAACTAAATTATATGTCTGGTTAGGTCTGATAAAATAAAGTTTTCAGCAGGTGTCTAAAACAATACATTAAGGGCACCTGCCTAATGTCAATAAGCAGAGTTCTAAAGCAAATGTATATATACCACTTAAAACTGGGTAGGTAGTCAGTCACAGCAAGCCAGCAGCAATAACAAAGTACGTGTGTGTGTACGCGCACCCCCCCCCCCATATGCATTGTACATTTAAAGCAGTATCATGAGACAGTCATGGCTCCCTCTCCCCAAAGAATCCTGGGAACTATAGTTTGTTAAGGGTGGTCAGAGTTGTTAGGAGACCTGTATTCCCTTCAGCGAGCTACAGTCCTCCTAGGAAGGGGAATTGACTGTCATAACACTCTGAAAACAACAGCTCTTTTAGGGGAACAGGGGTCGCCTAACACGATTCTCAGATTGGACATAACACTAAGCCTGGGTTGTGATTTGTTTCTCCCACTTGATTGTGTATTTAATTGGGACAGGATAAAGTGGTTTTCTCTCTGACTCCATATCCAGGAGGCTTTAAGCTGTGAAGGAGTCAGAGTCTTTGGCACTGTTTTTTTTTTAAAACCCTGTGCTGGAAGGAGTGTAAGAAGATCTGTGCATGGTAGGACATCAGACTCTTGGGCTAAGGTGCTGTTTAGTTTTTTGTTTTTTGGGGTGGCGGTTGTTGCTGTTGGTTTTTTGCATCTTTGTTTTAGATCTTGAGATTTATGTGGAAATTGTTCTGTTTGGCTGTGTATTATGTTTTATTTATTGTTTATGGCTACTGTTGTTATGTTGTAGCTATGTTTCCCCCCCCCCCCCATGTTGTACTGTGGAAAGTTGGCATAGAAATAAAATTATGTATGTATGTATCTATCTCCCTTTACCTCAGCTTCAGCTAAGCAGCCACCTGAAGCTAAGGCTGGCTGAAGGTTTGCACCTTAGTGATCTGCTTTCAAGTTGCCAGGAATTCATGACAACATCATAGGCCGCCGACTCCATGGGGCTTGAGGGGGCCGAGCCCCCTCAAAAATTCGTTTGGGGGGCCCGCCCCCCAATAATCTCCGGCGCCCCTCCAGCAGAGCGCCATCGCCGCCCCTCCCCCAGCCCAAAATGCACAGGGAGGGGCGGGCTGCATGCCTCCTGCCCTCCCTCCCGAGCAAAAGCTCCACCCAATTTCCTTTGGAGCTGATTAATAGGCGCAGCACGCTCTCCCCTATTCGCTCACGAGGAGGCGGCGCCACTTTATTTGCATATTCATGAGCTTATTTATTATTCATGAGCTTTCCCGGGCCCCCCCAATATTTTTTATAAGTCCGCGTCCCTGGACAACATGCATGTCCTGCCCTTGATCTTGTTGGTTCCCGTCCACCAGGTGTGCAGAAATCACCCCATTCTCTCTGGTTGGCACCATTTCACTATTACAATGAAGCATGTGGAAATTAGTATTTCAAAATTCTTCAGCAAGATGTCAGATCACAAGGTAATGGCTTACTCTTCCTCTGACAGAATGGTGTATAATAATTGTTTTCTTTCTTTCAGAGAGTGTTCAAACCCGGATTATGCAGATTGTACTGAAAAGCAATACACTTCTAGTTTTAAGAATTAGATTAACGGGGAGTGAGGAGGATGGGAGGGATTAAAAAACCCAGAATCTGAGTAAGCAAGCACCAGTTAACTGATTCCTTTCATAGTGTACTGTGCCATAGATATAATTACTCACCCATATAAAGGTAAAGGTAAAGGACCCCTGACAGTTAAGTCCAGTTGCGAGCGACTCTGGTGTTGCGGCATTCATCTCGCTTTACTGGCTGAGGGAGCTGACCTTTGTCCGCAGACAGTTTTTCCAGGTCATATGGCCAGCATGACTACCTTCCCGCCAGAGCGGTACCTATTTATCTACTTGCACTTTGACATGCTTTTGAACTGTTAGGTGGGCAGGAGCTGGGACTGAACAGGAGCTCACCCCGTCACGGGGATTCGAACTGCCGACCTTCCAATTGGCAAGCCCAGAGGCTCAGTGGTTTACACCACAGTGCCACCCGCATCCCTGCTCACCCATATACTTGCAATTAACTCAGAGTAACATATGCAGAAATAATATTCATACAGCTGCAGATAGTGAAGTTAGCAATTCCTCTGTTTTTAAGAGCTAAACAACTCCGCTTTCCTTCACATATTCTACCCCGCCCCCCCTTACAGGTCCACATGCCAAGCTTTGGCTTTCTTTTTCCTTAGAATTAACATTTAAAGCCACGGTTAGCCATGGAGAGTCCTGGGAACTATGCTAGCAACTATACCTGTCACGCAGGCATGGTCAAACTTGGCCCTTCAGCTGTTTAGGACTACGGTTCCCATCATCCCTGACCACTGGTCCTGTTAGCTAGGGATAATGAGAGTTGTAGTCCCAAAACAGCTGGAGAGCCAAGTTAGCTGCACTCTTTTAACAAACTACAGTTCCCAGGATTCTCCATGCATGTAAAAAAAAAAAAAGGCATAATCACGCTTTTCAAATGTATGGTGTGAATGCGACCTTCAGGTTTTTATGTTGCTATTTAAACTTCTCCTTTCTCCCCGCTGTTAATCACTTCCTGCCCCAGCTCCTTGCGTGGATCTCTCGCTCGAGCTTCCTCGGAGCCCCAAATCCAGGCAGCCTTTTCAGCTCAGTTCACCTTCCCGCTGGCCTCTCACATTGCCACAAGAATGGCGGGAACTCACGGGAACTCAGTTCCGACACCTCAGGTGGGTGCCACTGCCCTTCTAACGAGGGAGGTGTTTGTTTGTGGTGAGTCCCGGCAACTCTTTATGGGGGGGGGGGACACTGAAAAGCTATACATTTATTTCTTTTAACTGATAACGGCTAAGGAATGTGTGCTCTTCTGGGGCTTGAAATTTGGATGTGATGGTTCTTTCACTCCACTTTACTCAGTACTAAAAAAAAAAACCTAGTCAGGTTTTGGGTTGAAAAGATGTGGGCGCTCCTGTAGTTCTCCTCAGAAGCACAGAGAGAGAAAAAAAAACTATTTTTACCCCATTCCCCGCCCCGCAGGAGGGATATTTTATGGCTGTGTGCTAATATCTTGACCCAGGTCACGTCCCCACAATTCAGAGGCTCCCTTTTCCTGCCTCGTGCTGCCGTGAGTAGCAGTGGCGTCGAGCGCGCGGGCGCGCGGATTTCCAGTTTAAAATGGTTCCCTTTGTGAGGCTTGTCGGTCAGCGGCCTCTTGCGGCGTCGCGTCAGATCGGTCGATCTGTGGCGAAGACAAACGCTCTCTCTGAGGAGGCGCCGACACAGGAGTCGAAACTTCTCTCTGCCCAGCCTTCGAGTGGTGGTGGGGATTCGAAGTGCGGCAGCTAGACCCCGCCATTTAGAGTATTTCCCAATAATAAATTATCTGATAATTATAAACCGTGTTCGCTTATCCCTCCAGCACTCTCATTTCTGGTTTCCCTCAGCCACTCAGGAATTTTAATTAGCTCAACTTGTTTCCATTACGTTCATTTACCTCAACATTTATCTCCTTTCTCAAATTCTGTCATATATCTCTATCTATATGCACACACTAAGAAACAACAACCCAGCCATTTAAAACAAAAACAAAAAAACTCCCATGGGGCTCAACTAGCAATTTTACCTTTGGACAAAATGTTCTAAATTCTGTGAGCTTTCCTGGAAGTAAATATTTTATACAAGTCTGGAAAGAAAAGTCACTATAATCCACAAAAAGTGTTTTTCATTTTTCCAATGATTTAAGGGGGAAATGACTTTACATTTGATTCCATAGAGCATACCTGATTAGTCCTAAAGTGTGCAGTGAGAAATGTAATAAAATATCAACAATTAACCTATGATTAACTTCCAAAGATATTATTACTGCAATATGATGGCACCCTCTTGTGGTTAAGGATTTTTATAAAAATGGCTGTAGCTAATTTGAACATGAACTTCTCAGTGTTTGTTTCCCTTTACAAACAGTAAGGAAGAATTTTTGTTTTCAGCAGGTGAACGTCTTTTTATTTTCATGATATATGCTTTCTAGGGAAACCATACAGTGCCCTTTAGATAAGTAGCTACAGTCACAGATTTGGAGATGTCATAAACCCTCTGATTTCTCCTTGGGATTACTCACTTTCCCTAGTTCAGAAGGATTACATCCACACACAATGAAGATCTGATTCTTCTTTAGTCAGAGGAGCTTTTTAAAATAATGCCTCTACTAGTACCTAACATGCTTGTGGCTTGCCAGATGCAAAATTCCTTATTCCAGTAAGGTCTAAATCTCTAGCTGGTGCCAACTATACTTGTACATTACAAAATAGTTACACCTGTGTGCTTGTATTGTATGAACATCTACTTAGACTAAAATTATCTTGCCACTGGCTTTTTTTTTAGTGGTGTCAGAAGAGTCTGCTCTCTGTTTGGAGAAGGAGCTGGTTTTCTCATCACAGCTATTTTCCAATTCAGATTATACAGTTTTTAAGCCCTTTGAACAAGTGATCCTTGTAAGGATGTTTTAACACATGAAAGTAAAATTTAAGCATATAAAGCCATCTCTCATATAATTAACCCCAAGAAAGTTACTGATTCTCATTCTGATTTCTTGGTCTTTTTTAGATGTCAAAGAATGATGATGATCAGCAGTTTACTATTGACAATGCAATTAAAAATATGGATAAAATGTCATCTGAACTGAACAAACTAATGGGTAATTATTAATGCTACTATTGTCAGAATGAAGATAAATGATTGATTTATTTTCCTATTATGTGATGATTACTGCCTGAAGAGTTCTAGGAAATGATGTATTGTATATGAATCAGTATATACAAACTTACCTAACTGCATAAGAAATTAAAGTATTATTCCACTTCCTTTTAATGCATGATGGTTATAACCTGTGCATCTCCTGTTGAAGTCACAATTATTCAGGAACACATTATTTCTGTTAATGTTAAATGTCATTGCTGTGTCTGCAAATTTTATTTACTTCTTTCAAAAGGGGGGAAAGCTACAGCTTTCCCCTGCTCCTATTTAGTGAATGCAGGAGGGGATGAGTATGCCTCAAACTATAATTCATGGGTGGGGAACCTTTGGCCTGTGGACCAAATTTGGCATTCTAGGCCTCCCCATTTGGCCCACCAGGCTGTTTTGACCAAGCCATAAACAACTGCCCTATACATGACACCAGATATCAGGCAATAGCAAGACTTGGTTGAAAGGGGCTTTGTGGGCCCTACCAATTGGCAATGCCTGCAAAGTCTGCACAGTGCTTCCCAAGGGATCAAAAGCCAGCTAATTGTTGGACACTGGAAATGCTGACCAAAGCATTGCAAGCCCTGTGCTCAGCAGTTCCCAAGCATGGGGCTTGCAGAGCCCCTCTTGGAATATTTTCCAAGTGCCTGACAACCAGCTAACTGTTGGGTGCTTGGGAAGCTCTGTGCAAAGCCCAAACCTTGACAGTTGTCAGTCACAGGCATCATTATGAGAACAGATGATTGACCAGTAGATGGTCCCAAACTCCTGTGAAACCCTGCTAAGATGGAGAGAGAGAAAGATGTGGCCAATGGGCCAAAAACGTTCCCTACTTTTGCTGTAATGGCTGTCCTTGTGGGACAACTGTTGCAGCTATCCTTCTGACATTTGGCAGGTTTCAGAAGCGTTACATTTGCCTGCAAATATCTTCCAATTCTTCCCCAAATGAAAACATTGTAGCCATTTGTAGTGAATAGAGGGTTTGGAGGGGAGGAAGGAAGTAGATTTACCAATAGTGAAAGGGGTGTGTGTGTGTTGAAATTAGGTGCTCCCTTTCACATGGTTATAAATTTAACAGACAGACTAAATGAATAAATACAGAAATGTTGTTGTTCTACAGTAAAAACCCAACTGCTGCTTTGTGATCTTATTCTGAACTTCAGCCATCCAGCTCTAACAGATGTTTCAACAGAAGCTGATGAAAAGAAACGTGAGGAGTCCACAAATCTGTGAGTTCCTTTTATTGTCCCTCTTCATTAACCCTTTGTCAGTAGTTGGTGCTACATTTAAAAGGGCAAGTTGAAAGATATATTTTATCTTTCCTAACTTTTTATGCCCCTGGACCATATTGTTCCTTTGAGACACTTTACAAAGTATGTCAAGTGTTGAGTTTTTGAATTGCACGCTATATTTGATTACTAATTAAATTACTGTTTTTGTGTAGTTGGCGTTGGTTTGTTAAGTTAGCTGGTGCTATTCTTTTATTTACTGCACATAGTAGGTGTGTAGAGCAGTGTTTCCCAACCTTTTTTGGGCAAAGGCACACTTGTTTCATGAAAAAAATCTCGAGGCACACCACCATTACAGCCCCGTGACGTCAGCGCGCAGCGTCACGCCGGGAAGGGACATGAATTGCTAGCAAATTACATAATCACCTCCTTGAGGGCTGGCTCATCTTCTCCGAAGGCAGAACCCCATTAATTAACAGCACAGACTCACACCATAGCCAAGACGAGGGGGGGAAAACCTCAGTCATGCACAGTCATGCACATGTGGGGGCTAAATGAGGACGAAGACCGGGCAGAGAGCAGGGTTCAAATCACCCCACCTGGCCAGGGACAATCCCTGGGTGCTCCCTTGGGCCACTCGCCTGATCCACCTCGCAGGGCTGTTGTTGCGAGGATAACACGGGGAGAACCACGCGCGCCCCCGGGAGCTCCTTGGAGGAGAAAGCGGGCGATGAATGCAATGCACGAAATATATGAGAGGCGACCAGGTTTTGCAGGTGAGGGGCCCCCGCCAGCCTCCGCTTCCAACACCCGGCGCAACGACGCCGAAGTTTCCCCCCGGGCTCGGCTCGGGGAGCAGTGCTGCTCCCCCCCCGGCTCCCCTTCGCCCTCCCGGCTCTCTCTGCCGCCCACTGGGGACCCCCCTCACCTGCCAAGTCCGGAGCGCCGGTGGAAGTTGCATGCATGCATGCAGGGCGCCGCGTTGCCATTGCATTGCACTGCACTCCATGCAACGCCTGCACGCATGCATTGCCTTGCAAGCCCGCCAAGGGGTCTCCCCGCGGTCCGATGCGTCCCCTCCGGCGCGGATGCAGCATTGCAAAAATAAAAAACCCCCGACGCAGCCCTACCTGGGGGGCAGCCTCCGCCTCCGCCGCTCCGCCTCCACGGGGATCCCCGGGCTCCATCCTGCCGCCCGATCTCCGGGGGGCGCAGGCAGGCTGCGCGGGGTCTGCGCGGAAGAGCCCCTGCCCGCCCGGCCGCCGCCGCTGCGCTCATTCCATGGCCGGGAGAAGAGCGCTTCAAACAAAACGCCCGGCCCGCCAGGCCACGCTGGGAAACGTAGTTCACGCACCCTGCGCGGGCGCGGAGCCCAAGGGCGAGGGGACTACGGATCCCAGCAGCCCCCGCGCCGGGGACGGAGGGGGAGAGGCCGGGTGCAGGGATGGAGGGACGGGTGGGCGAGCGAGTGAGTGGCAGCCGCCAAGCCTTGGCCGAGAGCCAGGAAGGGCCTCCCCGGAGGAGGAGGAGGGAGGCGCAGAGCGGGAGGGAGGGAGGGAACCCCAGGGGTCATCTAGTGACGGCGCCCCAATCGAAAATTTGACTTAAAAAAAAAAATCTTTCAATTTTTTAATTTTTCCCGCGGCACACCAGGCAACATCTCGCGGCACACTAGTGTGCCGCGGAACAGTGGTTGGGAAACACTGGTGTAGAGCAAGCTAAGGAATAAATGGATACAAAAATATATCACCCAAATCCTCAATTTTCAAAAAAACAAAGGAGCAGTGAGCTTTTACTAGAATAGCTTCTTTTCATCCCTTGCATCCCCACTGTGCTCTACTTTTAATGGGCACAAAACTGTGCACATTTAATGTTCTTAAATAACAGAAAGAAAATATGTGTATAGTATCTTACCTTATCAGAACATAAGGATGGATTTCTTAATAAAGTGCTGCAGAATTAAGGCCAATAATCCAATCCAATTTAACGATGCAGTAAGATTTACAAAGTACTGTGATTGGTTTTGTTTTTTTAACTCAAACTGACTTTAACATCTTTAGACTGGGCTTGCCCCTGCCATGTGATGGTAACATAATTGCAAATTTGTCCTTGATAAGTCAGACGGACAGTGGCTTAAAGTTAGTGCTAAGCCATTCTTTATGTTTGTGAAGTCTAGGCAGGAATTTGAAATAATAGGAATTATTGGTACTGGATAGAATCTATGAGTATATGATTGCATTTCCTATATACATAAAAATGTACAGCTGTCATGCTGCAGTTTATGTAGCTGCCAATAGGTGGCCATGCCAGTTACAGATGAGCAAGCGGGAACTGCAAACCACTGTGTGCAATGCCTGCCCCCTCCATTAAATGTCGCTGCAATAAGATTTACAGAGGGGGAGGCACTTCAGAAGCCACTCTTTGAAGCACCTTCTCTTCCTTTAAAAAGTGGTGGGGCTTGGGGTGAGCTGTGGTGATAGGCAAGGTGAGGTATAAAGGGAGGAGGGGTTGGCCAGGTGCGGCTGAATAGTTGGCAAAGAGGTTGGCGTGTAGGTGGAGTTGGTGAGCGGAAAGAACGGGGGCAGCAGCTCCTAGTAATTATATGAGGACTAAAGCAATACTTAAAGGGTTGTCATTTGTATTATGGGAGTCCATCTTGTACAGTGGCTAACTTGAAAAGATACATACAGAGAATGGAAGTTTATTTGTGTGAGAGAAATGGGGAGTAATAAAGGTTAGCAGTGGAAAAGGGAATATAAAAACAGATAGATACTTTATTGATTCTAGCTGCATCTGAAAATGCAGCATCTTAAACTAATTGCTGTTATCATATGTGAAATATAGTACACAGATATAGTTCCCAGAAACATTAGACATTAGCATGGATGCTGTGTCTGAGAGCATCAAATAACTTGAATACACCAAACTATTCTCAGGTGAATATGTCTATTGTATTTTATACAACACTACTCCACAAAAAGCATTCACATGTAAAGAAATATGTACACAAATTGTAAGACCACACAGTTATTTTCAGTTTGTGTAATGTTGCATTTCAGACAGTGGCTATCACACACATGAAACTGTCTCATGAAGCGTATGCTGAGTGAGAAGTAATACACTGATGTTTTCAGTTTGAGAACTTAAGGCAAGAAATGAACTTGCATTTTAACATGAAAATAAGAGAAGTTCACCAAATATAAATCAGTTACTCTTCTGGCTTTCTCTTTCAAAGATAAATAGGTGATCCTCCAGGAAATTTTCTGTTATCTTTTAAAGAGATCCAGCCGTGTATGTCAGCAAGCACTGCTTTCTTGAACACCGATCCTTTCCGTCTATCAGTCGAAGAGGCATTCTTCTGAAGTAATCAATTATATCAGCCACTGAAGCAAAATCCTGTGTGATTTACAGAATGTCAGTCAGTCAATGATTCTGAAAGTTAAAGCAACGTAATTTTGGCTCTTTGTTTTATACAAATTGTTCTTTAGGGACAGTAAATAAACTATCTTTGGTTCTAGTTTTTGCTGTTAGCCTAGATTTGATTCTGCTCAGTTACTGCACTCTCATTTGAGAAACCTTGAAGGAGAAGTAGTAAGAAGAGTTGTCATTATGTAGAAAGTATTATATTTAATAAGTAATAAATATTAAAATAAATAATAAATAAATAAATAAATAAAGTAACATTGCATCATACCTCATTCCCTTTTGAGCTAGTTCCTAATATATACACTTTATCTTCCAGTTGGAAACGTATTGGAATATTGTATACTTTAGCACTGTAAAGCACCATCAAGACATAGGGTTGATCAGCAGCCTTCGTTGAGCTGTCTCTTACTAAGAAAGTGCCATCCTAGAAAAGTAACACATTAAAATATTTTTAAGACAAATGTAATCACAACTGTCAACAGAATTGATTGCATTTCGAAGCAAATGTGTTCAGGATTAGTCTTGGAGTGTGTGTTCAATTTCAATATTTTTCTCAAATTACTATATTGATGTTATAATTTAACTCTTCACCTGGTTTATGGTCCTAAGAGCAGCTTCTGCATCTGTCCGGGTTATATCAGCAGCATACCATTCCTGATTTAGCGGGAGCTGGTTATACTTGAGCCACATGAAAAGAGAGACAAAGAGCTGTTTATTAGTGAGAATATGGTATTACCAGTGTAGGGCAAAGGAGTACAGAGCTTTGAAAGGCAGGTATGGTATTTATTAACTGAATATGTTACTGGTAAGGTACCCAGTCATTCTTTTCTCCTCTTTATGTTTATAACTGAAGCCATTGTTTCTTTGGGGGGGGGGTTGCTTATGGAAGTTTGATGTGAAATTGCTGCAGCTCTTGCCCACCAGTCCAGCCCCTGTGTTAATATGACATCAATAGCAATAGCAAAATGCCAGCCCATTTTTAATTATTATTTTCTGACATTTAGTTTAGCTTTCTCCTTATCATGAAAAACAGATAAGTAAAAATAACCTGTTGTATATCTGTAGTATATATGCGTGGAAACTCCTACGTGTGTTGTTGTTAATGGGCATTTTGTCATGAATGTAGTGGTGGATTTGGTGGGAAGTCTCTATAACCACACTTATTATCCACACTTCCTCTTGTCCTGCTGTTTTCTCCTGGGAAAAACTGCTTTTTAGCACTTAATTGTAGTAAATGGCAATTTTCTCTGGATTGATACTTGCTCTAAAATGATAGTTTTTCATGGGAAAGGAGTGGGCCAATTGGGAAACCACTCAGACCCATGATTTTTGCACAGGACAAGCAGACGTGTGGATGAGTCCTTATGCTTGCATTTGCTCCTCACCTGAGCACAACCTAGCCATTTTATTTCTAATGGCTCCAAATGCCAAAAGAAACACATCTATGTGCACTGATTGCTGCATGTTGATTTCAACAGCGCACCCAGTTTAGAGAATCTACAGTGGTGCCTCGCAAGACGAAAATAATCCGTTCCGCGAGTCTCTTCATCTAGCGGTTTTTTCGTCTTGCGAAG